CAATTGTTGTAAAAACAAATCCATCACCACTTTTAGCTCCAAACATAATAAATGAAAAATAAGAAAGTGAAAATGACTCAAGGTTGAGATAAACTAGAAGAATCTACCTATTAAACAAAAGAAATGAGTACTTTAAGCATGTAATAAACCATGCTTATCATATACACATATAAGGGGCATTTATTCATAAAGATCATTACTATTTAACGTATTATGTACCCCGTATCGGTGACTTCTCTTTTGAATTAAAATTATAAGCCCTTTGAGGCAAAAAAATATCTTTTGAAATAACGTGTCCTTTTATGGCATAATTTAAAGCTTTATTGTTTGTATTTATTTGAGTTTTTGAATTTTCTGAATTTAATTTACAAAAACATTAGAGAAATTTTTTTTGAATATCACAATATGTTTATTTAAAAACTTATACGTTTTTCATCGTGATTTCTTTGGAGAAGTAAAAATACAATTCATACTCCATCACTGAATCATATGAAAAATAAAATAATAGTAAATGACAAAATTACCCTTTGATGAAATTTTTTAGTTTATTGTTCGGTTTAAAAATAGTAATTTAGATAAGGGTATTTTTGTATATTAAATAATGAAATGATTTTGTTTGAAGGGAATCGTTGACTTAAGTTAATGAGCTCTTAAAGAGCAAATATCGTTCAAATAATAAGACATCAATAAGACACGAGAATACATAACAAGAAAGGAATTAAACCGAGACAATATAGCAAGAGCATGAGGCACATCATTCGCTTGTCTTTGAATAGTCTTAGTGGTTGTTTACTTGCGGCTTAATTAGGTTTATTGGTCTATCTGGCTTAATTAGATATTGTTTGACAAAAATAAGCTAGCTTATTTTTTGAGTAGTCTTTTGGATTCCCATAAGGTAACTTTAAAGCTATCTTGTTGATAAGCTACTTGGAGTAGCTTATTAAGAGCCTTTTGACAATTTTCCTATTATAACTATGATTAATATTAATTATTATCATTAATAAAGATTAATTATTCATGAAGATTAATTTATAGTAATTAAAGTCAATTAAAAATTATTAATTAATTTTAATTACACAATAGATATTAATAATAATTATTAATTATTTATAAATGTTTTTAACTATATCAATTATTATTTTTAATTATTATTCAATATATACATTTAGAACT